GTCACAGTAATGAGATGAACACAGCAAGGATTTAGACCCGGTTAAGGCATTCAACTATACTTCTTTAAAGAAATGAAAACGAGGAACGTAGTGCAAAAGACCCAATGCATCTCGATTGGAAAAAAAAAAATATTGATTACCGTAAGGAAAGTGTGGTAAAGTGTGATTTTCAGTAGGTTTTTTTACACATTTATCGCAATAACCGTATGAGCTAAGTAGCACTTGTTGACATTTCTGAAAGGGATCAAAATGAGCAACACAATGGAAAAAACTCTCATCGAAATCGGATAAAAAATTAGATTTAAAACACTTCATCAGGAATCAATCCCTCTTTTATTTCAAGTATTCTAAATCTCTCGACATACCCCAAATGCAGAATATTATTAAGACAAACTCCATTTAAATACATTGAAAATAAACAATATGTATATGCAAATTTGTAATTTCGCAGGCAGTACGTCGAATGAGCATGCGTCAAAGCCTATAAGAGACAGATCAATAACAGTCACCGAATTTGGATATTTGATAAAAAATTGTCGTTTTCTGTGGAAAAGATTGTTTCAAGGAAGTACACAATAAAATTGAGAATGGAAATGGGGAATGTGTCAAAGAGACAACAACCCGACCATAGAACAGACAACAGCAGAAGGTCACCAACAGGTTTTCAATGCAGCGAGAAATTCCCGCACCCGGAGGCGTCCTTCAGCTGGCCCCTAAACAAATATATATACTAGTTCAGTGATAATGAACGCCATACTAAACTCCAAATTGTACACAAGAAACTAAAATTAAAAATAATACAAGACTAACAAAGGCTAGAGGCTCCTGACTTGGGACAGGCGCAAAAATGCGGCGGGGTGAAACATGTTTATGTGATCTCAACCCTCCCCCTATACCTCTAGCCAATGTAGAAAAGTAAACGCATAACAATACGCACATTAAAATTCAGTTCAAGAGAAGTCCGAGTCTGATGTCAGAAGATGTAACCAAAGAAAATAACACTACTTTAATACGTCATATACCAAATCTGTTCGACTTTGTACAGTTTCAGATGTGTGTCTGCTCAATGAAATCTGTCTCTTCAGTAGAAATAAATACTTGTATTTCCAATGATTAACTTTCAAGTAAAGAAAATTTATACAAATTTTACATGTACATACTTTATAATCTGATTCTTACAATAGCCAGATACACGTTGCAAAGACAATGGGGTTCTACTTATCAAAAGTAAAATAACTGCATAGAACTAAATATGTATCATCTTCACATCCGACAAATAATAATGGTGTTCACAGGAAATGGCATTACACACTTTTGTTCCAAAACAATATAGTGATGCAGATGATTTAATAAATAAATCATCTATGTCATATTTACAAAAAGTTAAAACATTCAATATCATATGCATTCGCTTGGAAATGAAATAAAATGCCATTAGTTCATCTAACTTGCAATATATAGTTATCTTATGTTATGTCAGAATATCAAAATCAAAGAAAATCGAAATGTGAATATTTTCTTATGCAAACAAAGTTAGAATTAAGGCAAAGTGTACGTAAATAATTACTCCACAGATTTAAAGAAAAACTTACATGTGGATTCTGCTTTTAAAAATAAATAAACAAATAAAATAAAAAAGGGGGTAACTGTTTTCGTTTTTTTCAGATACAAGCTGTTGAAATTAACATCAAGAATACAAAGCACTACAAAAGTCTAAAAGTCTGAAAAGACCAGTTTTTGTCTTAATTTGCATGAACTTTTACTCGACATTCTCCAAAAGTATGACTTGTGTCTTAATTTTTCTTGACAAATTCTCATTTATATTAAATTTGTATGAAATTTACTCGACATATTCTCGACATTCTGAATATGGTCTTAAAATTTCTTGACAATTTCTTGACATTTGAATACTGTCTTGAAATTTCTCGACATATTCTCGACATTCTTATTTTTTCTCAGTATGGCTTGACATATTCTGAACATTTTGAATCGTGTCTTAAATTTACTTGACAGTTCTGAGTTTTACAAATCATGACCAATATTCATGATATAACTTTAATCTTTATTTCTCTTTATATGATATACTGTTGTTTCAAGTTACACTTCTTTACAACAAAAATAAAAGTTGGGAATGTAAAATAATTGAAAATTTGGGTATATAAATATTTTTACAAATGCAAATATGGCTATGAAATCTAAAGTATAAAATAATTCAAATGTGGGTGTGTTGATATAAAATAATTTCAATGTGGGTTTTTAAATAATTACAAATTTTGATTCCTAAATCTTATAAATTAAATGATTCAAACCAATCATACTGTAGACAAATTTCATTCTACATTCATAATATTCAATGTTGATATGGTAAATAATTATTATACCAAAATGTGGTTTATATAAATAGCAAATTATGATGATATACAAATCATTCATTTAACAGAAGAAAAATTTGTGTAATGTCATCTGTTGGAATATATTAAGTATTACACATGGACAGGATGTTCCCCATAAAATTAAGGTATTCCACACCCCAGAGTACACGCAACTGTCAAATAGAAGTTATTGCTTTACCTGTAATATAGCCATACAACTTATCAGTTGATCGACCATGCCACTACAATTTAAAAAGTTTGTTGATAGATGAAAATGAAAATCATCATTTTGATGAAAAAAAATGAATTGAAATGGATTTTCTTCATCAAAATTATGAATTATTTTAACATAAAAACAAATTGAATAATTCCAAAAGATTAAAAGAAAATTATTATCTACTCCAGGAATAATAAAAAAAATGTATTTATAATGGGTCCCATCAATGATTTCTATAGAAATCATCGGTCTTATGAAATGGTTCTCAAACAGAGATGCATAATATAGATCTAAACATTTTTTTCTTTTCAGGAAGGAGTTATTTTTGAAAAAAAATTATAAAATTCAACACTAAAATTTGAATAAAAAATGTTTTTGGGTTGTTCTAAAAAATAAATAAGGTTTTTGAATCAAGATGGGAACACATTCTTTGACCTAAACGAAAGCCCCCACCCCCCCCCCCCCTCTTTTTTTAGCCACACAAACCCACACGATGAATTGTGGGGTCCAAAAGAGATACAAGACACCTATTTTAGTAAAGCAAATTTGACTGGCAGTTTTGCGAACGGCAAAAATCTAACTGCTGTTTGTCAATACCTTCGACCTATATTCCAAGTGAAAACAATTACTTAAAATAAAAATAAATCAAAATTAAACTACATGGGGGATTATTCAGGGTATTCTAACTTAGTTGCACCAAAAGGGTATCTTACTATACCAAATTAATCCTTGATTCTTCAAAGTTTAGTTTAGCCATAATAAAAAGGAGTATATAACAGCAATAGAATGTCATAAACAGTGCAGAATTAGTCTGTTCACATTTCAGGCAAAATTTATACTGTTGAGATAGTGTCAAGACATATTTAAGACTGTCAAGAATGTGTCGAGACATATTCAGACATTATTTAGAATGTCAAGAATATCTCGAGACATATTCAGACATTATTAAGAATGTCAAGAATATGTCAAGACAGATCGATACAAATTTGAGACAGTCAAGAATTGGTCGAGACTAATATAGACTCTTATCAGATGATACAGGAAGTGTCGAGAAATTTTAAGACAATGTTCATACTGTCAAGACACTTGTCAAGAAAAATCAAGACCTTATTAGACAAATTCATACTATGTCAAGAATTTTTAAAAATTATTCAGACAAATTAAAAATGTCGAGTAAAAATTCATGCAAATTCATACAAAAACTGGTCTTTTCAGACTTTTTGACTTTTGTAGTGAAGGATACATAGGGAACGTCATAAAAAAGGCACATACTTGTATTATTACTTTACTATTTCCTTATTTGGTGTTTCAAATAATTTTTGTAAAAATCGAAATGAACGACGAATCCTTATCAACTATATCGTCTAGACATTTTAGCGGAACAAAAATAAATAAAATTCGGTGACGTTATTGATGTCCACTGTACCGTCACCATGATATCTACTTTATATGGAGAGAGCTTTTATAGGCTGTGCCTGTTGCTCAATCCTTTTCATATCTTAATGAATAAAATATGTTTAAAATCAAATCAAATACCTACTCCGTAACGCTATTATACCATACAATGTCATGACACAAATCGTGAGTGCGTATAACCCATTCTCCTTATTATTGCTAATGCTTAAGCGTAATTTATTGATAAGGAAATAAATTGACTTACTTTAGGAAAATTGCTGCTGTTAAAAAATATGAAAATTGGCAAATGAATATACTGCAAGTGCAAGAAAGTTACTGTTCATACTCCATCTTTTCTAATTAAGACAGGGTTTCATATTTTTGTTTGTTTAAAATGTTGGTATTGTTCTTATAATAATGATTCAAATATCGATTTCCAATCCTTGTATCTATGATGAGTTTATTTGTAACCACTAGGTCAATGTCACTGCTGGTGGAGTTTTTATTCCCCGAGGGTATCACCAGCCCAGTAGTCAGCACTTATGTGCTGAAATGACTTATCATCGATATGGTCATTATTATTAATTAACTGTTTACAAAACGTTGAATTTTTTAAATACTAAGGCTTTTCTACGTCAGGAAAAGGTTACCTTAGCAGAATATGGCAAAACCTTTTAGGAACTTTTGGCCCTCAATGCTCTTCAACTTCGTTCTTTATTTCACTTTAGTATCTATGATGAGTTTATTGATAGAATAAATCAAAAAATATTTCCCATCTGGTGCATTTTACGTTTTTACAAAAGGTAAAATCAAAAAATGATTTTTATAAATGAAAAAAGGAGGAAAATTCAAAACAAAAGTCCTTAATCAAATGGCAAAATCAAAATCTCAAACGAATGGATAACAACTTGATACCTTATAAAATCTATAATAACTGTCAGTTGAAAAACGGTAGGATTTTTTCTATATCTAATACATCATGAACAGTAAATTATAAAACCTGATTATATTTTTCATTTGCTACAACTGTTTTAAGAAAATAGGTGTATGGAATAGATTGAGATGAGAAAAAGGCTTTGAACAGATGTACCTATCGGACAACATGACTGTGCTTCATCATTGTTCAATCATGGACTAAGATAAAGATGGAAGAATTTGACGGTGAAGAATTATAGCTGACATCTTCAGTTTATACATGTTTATCTAAAAATGAAACTGCAGAAAGTATTAAATTTTGGAACAATTCAAACAAAATATTGCATTAATCTGTGAATTTAATGTGTTACATTATATTTCCTTTTTACTTTCACAACTTATTGCATATCATTACAGTTTCTGAATAAATTTTATCATTAGTTAGATACACAAGACGATAAAAACGGGATGAACAAGTCAAAGAAAAAGGAGACAATACTTTGCCAAAATGCATTTATTTAAAATGTAATATCAATAATACATTATTTAACTTTCACTACATTTAACAATTCAATGGACCAAAGAACTAACAAAAATCCGTGGTAAGAATGCTTGTGATTGATTACGTGTCTAACATTCTTGTAACGATCAACTCAACTTCGTTTAAGAATTTTAATCCTGATAAGGAAGTGTGTGTGCATATTTTATTTTCTTAACGTGGCTTGTGGTATATTTAGTGATTACGTATTGCGTTCATGTTAACCTTGTGAAATCACAATAAAAAAATATTAATATAAATACAAAGCTGATGGAATTTTATTCAAAACGTCGTTTGGTTCTTGATCTACTACAGTGAGTATATCGTTACATTAGTAAAGTATGTTTCTATATTTTCTTGATATTGATGTTCTAAAGAGACATTTTTTATGATGTCCGATGTCTTCTAAGATAATATTATGCCAAGTCATTACTAAGTTGATGATTACCTAGAGCTCGGCACTACCTATTCAACATGCAGATATATCGACCAAGTGTTATTACATGAAAATAGAACTTGTCAACTAGGAGAGAGTTAACCATATGCACGCTCTGCTTTAATGTTGATACACAAATAAAAAAAGACAGTTCACAATGTAATATTAACACAATAATTCATTTTGAATGTAACCCATCTTCTGATAGGCTTAAGTGTTTTGTCTATCAGCTCATATACATAGTACATAGTACAATAGCGGTACTTTATGTCTTTTGGACAATTGATTAGTTTTTGCGTCATTCCGTTCTACGTTTTTATTGTTTTGTAGATGTCATAACTTCTACAGTTGACGCTTGTACAGTTGACGCTTCTATTTGTCATTTGGTCAGTTGTCATGGAAACCGTAAGCGGGGAGAGCTGTTTCAAACCTTTTAGATATCATTGCAGGAATTGCACACCCGGAACACCTTGCTGTGGGATTAAACCATGTAACATATTGTGTTGTGGATGTAAATGTTGTACAGAGCCAAGAGGAAAACATTGTTATGGACGTGGAAATGGATGCAAGTGTTATAACGCCAAACGAAAACGACGTCATGTGTCAAATGATACTACGGATATTTCTGCCTATCTTACATATATTGGACTAGATATCAACAAGTGAGTATAAGCAACTTAGATATCTCATAAAAAAGAAAAAAAATGTCACAAAATCATTAATCTTTATAACCATACATATCTATAAAATTTATTCTGAATTGTTGTCCGTTATCGCTTTTTCAATCAATCCCTTGGTTAATCTGAATGGCGCTTTTAAATACAGATGTTTCTAAGTACGGTGGATTCATTTATTTTCGTGGGTACCAATTTACGTGGGTTGCGGAAAATTTGCCTTTTCGTGGATATGTAATTTCGTGGTTTTTCCAAAGTCTGCATACGACCTGATAGAAAATTTGTACTTCGTTAAACATTTAAATTCGTGGTTCACCTGTACCCACAAAAACCATGAACATTGGTATCCAACAAATGATAATGAATACACCGTAAAAGATTGCTTTAAGTTAAGAATAAGGAATTCACTTGACGATAAAGTAAAACATTCTTCACAACCATAATATACAGATAGGGGTTCAAAAGGGCACCACTACAACTGGATTATACACTTAGTTATGTAGTAGGGCATTATTGAATCTTGATTTTGCACTTGATTACGTAGTATATCATCACTGAAACTCGATTAGACACTCGGTTATGTAGTCGGAAATCATTGAAATTCGATTAGATACTTGACTATGAGATAGGCCATCCTTGAAACGCGATTAGAAACTTATATATGTAGGGTGACATCAATGAAACTCAATAAGACTTTTGCTGGTTTAAAAGGCTTAATTTAAACTCGGTAAGACACTTCGTGGTGTGAAAAGGTATCATTCAGACTTGATAATACACTCGGATATGTAGTAAGACATTGTTAAAAATCACTTACACACTTGTTTATACAGTAAGACATCATTGAAACCCAATAAGACACTTAGTTATGTGGTAGGACATCATTGAAACTCAATTAGACACTAGGTTATGTAGAAGGATGTCGTTAAAACTCAATTAGACACTTCGTTATCTATTAAGACATCATTGAAACTCAATTAAACACTTGTTCATGTAGTAGGACATCATTGAAACTCAATTAGACACTAGGTTATATAGTAGGACATCATTGAAACTCTATTAGACACTACGTTGTATAGTAGGACATATTTGAAACTCAATTAAACACTAAATGATGTAGTAGGTGATCATAGAAACTCTATTAGACAAAAGGTTATATAAAAGGACATCATTGAAACTCTATAAGACACTAGGTTATATAATAGGACATCATTGAAACTTTATTAGACACTAGGTTATATAGTAGGACATCATTGAAACTCAATTAGACACTAGGTTATGTAGTAGGATGTCATTGAAACTCAATTAGAAACTTTTTTATCTATTAAGACATCAGTGAAACTCAACTAAACACTTGTTCATGTAGTAGGACACCATTGAAACTCAATTAGACACTAGGTTATACAGTAGGACATCATTGAAACTCTATTAGACACTAGGTTATATAGTAGGACATCATTGAAACTATTAGACACTAGGTTATATAGTAGGACATCATTGAAACTCAATTAAACACTTGATGATGTAGTAGGTGATCATTGAAACTCTATAAGACAATTTGTGAAGTCGTAAAGCATCATTCTAAAAACGATAAGACACTTGATGATGTAGTAGGTGATCATTGAAACTCTATTAGACACTAGGTTATATAGTAGGACATCATTGAAACTCTATTAGACACTAGGTTATATAGTAGGACATCATTGAAACTCTATTAGACACTAGGTTATATAGTAGGACATCATTGAAACTCAATTAGACACTAGGTTATGTAGTAGGATGTCATTGAAACTAAATTAGACACTAAGTTATCTATTAAGACATCATTGGAACTCAATTAAACACTTGTTCATGTAGTAGGACATCATTGAAACTCTATTAGACACTAGGTTATATAGTAGGACATCATTGAAACTCTATTAGACACTAGGTTATATAGTAGGACATCATTGAAACTCTATTAGACACTAGGTTATTATAGTAGGACATCATTGAAACTCAATTAGACACTAGATTATGTAGTAGGATGTCATTGAAACTAAATTAGACACTAAGTTATCTATTAAGACATCATTGGAACTCAATTAAACACTTGTTCATGTAGTAGGACATCATTGAAACTCTATTAGACACTAGGTTATATAGTAGGACATCATTGAAACTCTATTAGACACTAGGTTATATAGTAGGACATCATTGAAGATCAATTAAACACTTGATGATGTAGTAAGTGATCATTGAAACTCTATTAGACAATTTGTTAAGTCGTAAAGCATCATTCTAAAACCGATAAGACATTTGATGATGTAGTAGGGTTCCTTTCAAAACTCAATAAGACATTTGGTTATTTAGAAGGAAATCATTGAAACTTAATCAGACACTTGGGTTTTTAGTAGGACATCATTTACACATATGAATTTATAAGCCTGGTACCTTTGATAACTATTTACACCACTGGGTCGATGCCACTGCTGGTGGACGTTTCGTCCCCGTTGGTATCACCAGCCCAATTGTCAGCACTTCGGTGTTGACATGAATATCAATTATATATCATGTTTATAAATTTACGTATTAGAACAGTATGCTTTATTCGAAATACTAAGGATGTTCTTATCCCAGGCATAGATTACCTTAGCTGTATTTTCACAACTTTTTGAAAATTTGGGTCCTCAATGCTCTTCAACTTTATACTTGTTTGGCTTTTTAACTATTTTGATCTGAGCGTCACTGATGAGTCTTATGTAGACGAAACGCGCGTCTGACGTATTAAAATACAAGCCTGATACCTTTGATAACCATTTACACTAATTACCCACTTGATAATGTCGTCGGTTATCATTGAAACTATGTTAGACTATTGGTGAAGTATTAAGGTTTCATTCCAAACACGATCAGACACTTGATGATGTAGTAGGGTACCTTTCTAAACACGATTAGATACTTGATGTTATTCCACTATATGTAAATATTGATAGCTAAACGAACATTTCATTGGTTGAGACTGTCCCATGTGATATTTAACAAAACATCATATTCCCCTCTGAAAATCATATTCAATTGTCATATTCCCCTTATTCGAATTTCTCAAGATTATACTAGAGTTATCCTTCTTTGAACAAAAAATGATGAATTGAAAAGTCTAGAGAGCTTCCGAATATTTTTGTTTGTAAACAAAAATGGCCAAACGATTTCATGTGGCAGACGACGATGAAATTGAAGAATTGTTACAAAACAAAGATTCACTAAACACAAAAAAAAGTACTGCAGTTGCAGTTAAATGTTTCCGACATAATCTTGAGGAGAGTGGGAGGGAAAACACAAAATTTGAAGAGTATGAACTTTCAGAACTCGACGTTGCACTGAAGAGTTTTTATGCTGGTGCTCGTAAATCTGACGGAAGTTTGTTCAAGAAATCGGCTATTCAAAATGTCAAATACGGATTAAAAAGATACCTACATGAAAAAAGAAACATTGACATAAACAAGGACAATGAATTTACCAAGAGCAATTTGATATTCCAAGCAGTTAAGGTTGATTTAAAGCGCAAGGGCTTTGCTAAAGTTGATCATTATCCTGATATTTCTGAGGAGGATTTACAGAAACTTTACAGTGGTGATACCCCTGTTTTGACGTCAATACTCCTTATGGTCTCCAGTTCAAAGTTTGGTTTGAGTTAATGCTTTTCCTGTGTAGAAGAGGTCAGGAAAATTTACGTACAATGACCAGAGATACATTTCGTGTGAAAAAAGATGCAAGTGGTACGAAATATGTTTACCAAAACAAGGATGAACTAGACAAAAATCATAGGGCCAACACTGATCCATCTGACTCAGTTACAGAAGGGAGGATGTACGAGAAGAAAGGTAATTTTCCATCTTGCTATTTCTTATTATTTTTGTGCATATATACATGTATTATAAGACATTTGTAAGAAGATGTGGTATGTCCAATGAGACAACTCTCCACTCAGCGACCAAACAAAATAGAAGTTTACAACTATAGGTAACTGTACGACCTTCAACAATGTGCAGAACCCATACTGCAGAATAATCCTTGCTTGGTAGATATATTGTTTAGTAACAAAATGTATAAATTTATGAATAGAACAAAAAAACAAATATACTTTATATATGAATTGGCATAAAATACATGAAAAATGCATTATTGCTGAAGAAAAATTACTATACGCGCACAAGAATATTAAAATAAAAACATTAGAACAGATCTTTGACTGCGTTTTTTCATCACAGAGTCTATAAATTCAATTCAATCATGTCAATTATGATATTTCAAAATAAAGAAATTACAGAAAATTTATTTAAATACATGTATAACTGTCAAAAGATAATTAACATACAGAATCAGTAAAATTACATAAATTTTGTCAGATGGTTTCTAATGAAATTGCATTCATTGTAGTTTTAATGTCTAATATGCTTTATTAAATTGCTATCAGAGAGAAAAAAAAACAAACAAAATCTAGTATTAAATATTTTTATTAAATTTTTCAGGTGATTTGAAATGTCCAGTAGCTTCTTTTGAAAATTATATTTCAAAATTGTGTCCAGATCTTGAAGCTTTATGGCAAAGACCAAAAGCATCCTCTGATGTGGGTGAATCTACATGTTATTGCAAATCTCCTCTTGGGAAAAACACTCTGGCTGGTATGATGTCTGAAATATCTCATATTGCTTTATTGTTTATGGCATATACCAACCATTCCATTAGAGCTACCAGCATCACAGTAATGGACGTAGGAGGGGTAACAGGTCGTCACATAATGAAGGTGTCTGGTCACAGAAGTGAAAATTCATTAAAATCCTACTCAAACCGTGTTAGTGATAAAAAAAAGAGGGAAATATCTGATATTTTGAGCAAGGCAATCTCTACAAATAAACAGGAGCATTCATCAGAAATTGAAAATGTAGTTGTTGAAAAAACTTCTGAAGTACTGCAGCCTATTCCACCACAGGAACTTTTAGAACTGTTTTCAAATGATATGGAACTGGAAGAAGTTAATGAAAATGTCTTGAGTGATATGAATCTAATGCAGGGTTTGAACACAATTAATAAATCATGTGATATGAAAGACAATCGTACACAACCATTGCAAGAAAGATGCATGAATGTCCAAATGAATAAAACCAATCAGGTTGAGTGTTGTGGGTCAAGAGGATTTTTTTCCTTTGTTCCAAAAAAAACAATACCTTTTGACACTTTATCACTTTTTTCAATTACTCATAAACATACATGCACATGTAGCAAAAACATTTAATACTCCAGTATTCACATACTTTATTACATGACAATCATACACATGTATTTGTTATAACTTTTTATTTTGTTTTGTTGTTATTGTTGAAATAAAAAGTTGCAGTTATCTTTTATTGTTGTATTATTTTCATTGTTTTCATATTCCATTTCAGGAAGACAAATTAAATGTAGATAGTGGAATAAAACATTCATTTCCCTTGCCTTCAGGAAATATGAAGATTTGTTCACCCTCGAAAAGTCATATTTCCCTCGGGCGATGCCCTCGGGAAATATGACTTTTCTCGGGTGAACAAATCTTCATATTTCCCTCAATCAAGGGAAATAAATGTATAATGTAGAAATGTACCTTTAAAAACTCGGGAAATCACAAGACTATGTAGTAAGGCATCATCAAATTGGTTTTCTTATTTTTCATGTACGTGCAAAAGTTTTTGGCTCAATATTTTGTTGTCGCAGCACGTGTTTATATTTAAAGCTATGTCATTGGTTGACAACGTGCAATTATATCTTACAATAGATTCATTAAATGAATAGTTTACAAAAATTTCGCAGAACAATATACCGTAAACCAAAGGTGGAGCGATAAGAACCACACCACACATCTAGTCAGCTTATGTTGTCTTTTCCAAAGATATACGAATGCAACTTGTTCATGCTAACTATACACATTTTCTTAAGGATTTTTGCTACTCTTGTTTTTTGTTTTTTTTTGCTTTCGTAGGATATCTTCTATTCAAAATGTATTTTTTTTGTTTCCTAATCTTTTTTTTATAATTTTATAACATATAGTGCAAAAAGTCATTTTGAAAAAAAGTATCTATAACGGTCTTTTATAAAAAGCACATATTTAGAATTAATAGAACGAAAATTTAGGTATTAGATTTATGTCATCTTTATACGCATTCTACACTCACAAACGAAAATTTAGGTGTTAGATTTATGTCATCTTTATACGTATTCTACAATCAAATAAAATCAAACTAGCTGTTTATATGTAAAAAAATCACCTAAATTCCCCAGGTTTATTATTTATTTTCTCTTTGTACCTGTACACATCCGGCGAGAGAAATCTTTTGAATTTGTATTGATTATGAACAGTTAATGTACTAAACAATAATGAAATCTATTATATTTCACTAATTGTTTTTCACTCTTTTTCTTATTCAAAGAAATGGCATGATGGAACAGTTTGAGATCAATAAAGCCTTGAAACATATGCATATAACGGAAAACATGACCTTGCTTCACCATTTGTCAATAATGGACGAAGATAAAGATGGAATTATTTCTCTGGAAGAATTTGTTAGAAAAAAGTAATATTTGACCAAGAACATAATTCGTTTTATATCTAAAAGTGAAGATTGAAAAGGTAGAAAGTATTCATTTTGAAATGAAATAAAACAAAATAGTGTTTTACTTCATGTTTTTTCTTCTTCTTTGATTCGAATTATTTTACTTTCGCCAAATATCGACAAGTTTCGTATAACTTAATTTTTTTTTTATTTCTGAATTCAATTTAATCATTGAGTAAATACATAAGACAATTAAAAATGGGAGGATGATAACGAGGGGTCGAAAAGTCGAAGATAAACAATACAACGACAAAAGTAAACTACGAAAAAACCAAAGTCCACAAAACACTTCATACAGAAATTAGCATCCTTTTCCGTTTTAATTGTTTCACATTAGTCACTGCGGGGCCTTTTATAGCTTGCTATGCGGTATAAGTTTTGCTTATTGTTGAAGGACGTACGGTGGCCTATAGTTGTTAACTTCTATGTAAATTGTTCTCTGGTGGAGAGTTGTCTTATTGGCAATCATACCAAATCTTCTTATCTTTATAATTAGTTTCTGCTTTACTAGCGACACCTGCTGTGTTATTTCCGTAAAAATACGTTTATATGTTATGTCATGTGATAAGAAATCGTACAATGGCAGATTGGTGAATGCCTTTTGTGAAACGTGACGTGATTACAATATTCATCATATAACGGTTTGAATTTGAATATAACATTTTTTTTTCGGGAGAAAGGATAGAAAAGACTTCTAGAAACAACACAGAAATTGAAAAAAATCATATAAAATAGCATTAATTACAACACTATAAAAGTAACAAAAAACCTATAAAAGATTTTAGATTGTCATATGTCATATTGACATTCAGATAGATAAAAAAGAACTATGATGTCAACTTTAATAGAAAGCAACCCAAAAGCTTAAAACCAAAAGATTAAAAGAGTTTCATATTATCCATAAGCTTCTAAGAAATTTAACAGAAATATTTAAATATTTGCCCACATAATTTTCGAAAGGCAACAACAGCACGAATTCAGCAAGTTGGCCACTGACGAAGTTCCTAACAAGACACAGAGGTCCCATTGAAGTAACTAAGGCAGTTGCCTCAATAATATCAGTTAAAAAAAAAGAAACAGAAACTACCCCTTGTTATGCAGTTCTAAAGGACATACACTAGAAAAATTTCCTGAACACCATTTCTATCAGCATTCAATGCCGGGCTTCAGAGTTTTTTGTAAAACTAACTTTTTTAGTGGAAACTAGATCTGGATACCTAACAATTTACTGTTTAGTCTATTTTTGATATTATCCATTTGGCTTGGTACTTATACATCCCGTCATTATGTTATTGTGCTATGGTAAGTTTTTGTATTCCTGTCTTTCGTTTTTGCTTATGTGCTTTGTCTTTATGCATTTTTGTCTTTCTTTGATGACATATTTGTTTGTTTTTACAGTGATTCAGTTTATAACACAATGTTGACTGCTGTACCCCAATTTTCGACAATTTTACCGATTATGTCTGTTTGTTTTGTTCACACATTGTTGTCAATCTAAGACTCTCTCATCTTGCAATAGTATTAAAACATTTGACTCTTCTACACTTTACACAAGTATTCCCCATTCCAAACTAAAAGACAAACTGAAAGAGTTGGTATTACTTTGTTTCATTAAAAAGAATGCCGAACGTAGATACAAGTATCTTGTCTTGGGGAGGGATAAATCCTACTTTGTAAAGAATCACTCTAATTCAAACAAAACATTCTCTGAAACTGACATTATCAAGATGCTTGATTTCTTGATTGACAACATATTTGTTACGTTTGGAGGACGTGTTTTTCAACAGACTGTCGGAATTCCAATGGGAACCAATTGTGCCCCTCTTCTTGCCGACTTGTTTCTCTATTATTATGAGGCTGACTACATACAGGAACTTCTTAGGAAAAAAGATAAGAAGTTAGCAATATCCTTTACCTTTACGTTCCGCTATATAGATGATGTTCTCTCACTAAATAATAAAAAATTTGGTGACTATGTTGAACGAATCTATCCCATCGAACTAGAGATAAAGGATACTACAGATACAGTTAAGTCTGCCTCATATCTTGACTTACATCTAGAAATTGACAATGAGGGTCGGTTGAAAACAAAACTTTACGACAAATGAGATGATTTCAGCTTCCCAATTGTGAACTTTCCATTTCTATGCAGCATTATTCCAGCAGCGCCTGCATACGGAGTATATATCTTCCAATTGATACGATATTCCCGGGCTTGTATTTCCTATCATGATTTCCTTCATAGAGGATTGCTGCTCACAAGGAAGCTATTCAACCAAGAGTTCCAAATGGTGAAGTTGAAATCATCCCTTCGTAAATTTTACGGACGCCATCACGAGTTTGTTGACCGTTATGGAATAACCGTTTCACAGATGATATCGGATATGTTCCTTATGTCGTAACTACAATACCCTTCCCTTTTCACGAATGTGACCTACCGAATTAGACTATTTACCGGATTTGTAATAACTTAAGCAACACGACGGGTGCCACATGTGGAGCAGGATCTGCTTACCCTTCCGGAGCATCTGAGATCACCCCCAGTTTTTGGTGGGATTCGTGTTGCCTAGTCTTTAGTTTTCTATGTTGTGTCATCTGTACTATTTTTTGTCTGTTTGTCTTTTTATTTTTGGCCATGGCGTTTTCAGTTTGTTTTCGATCTATGAGTTTGACTGTCCCTCTGGTATCTTTCGTTCCTCTTTTATGTGACTGTCATATAAGTGAGAGGTTTAGCTAGCTATAAAACCAGATTTAATCCACCATTGTCTACATCAGACAATGCCTGTACCAAGGCAGGAATATGACAGTTGGTATCCATTCGTTTGATATGTGTTTGAGCTTTTGATTTTGCCATATGATTAGGAACTCTCCATTTTGAATTTTCCTCGGAGTTCGGTATTTTTGTTATCTTACTTTTTCCAAAGTTCTTTTAAAGTAGATACAATCTACGCATCGTTCCTCTCACAATAGTGTGCATAGCATTTGATTTTTCTACCTTTTACACAAGCATTTCTCATCCCAAACGTCAAGACAAATACATAGATATGGCCCGACTTTGTTTGAAACAAGAATGACCAACAACAAAGATAGAAATATCTTATTGAATGGAGGTATAAATTAAACTTTGAACACAAACCACTCTGATTCAAACAAAACATTCTCGAAACTAACATTATCAACATGCTTGACATCATATTGTTTACTTTTAGAGGACGTGTTTTTAACAGTCAATTGGCATTCCTATGTGAACGAATTGTACTCCTCTTTTTGCCGACTTGTTCCTTCATTCGTATGAGACCGACTTCATACAGCAGGTTCTTAGCAAGAATGAAAAGAATATAGCATTATCATTAAGCTTCATGTTCAGCTATAAAAATAATGTTTCATAATTTGCTCATTTTTAAATGTACAAGAAATATTGGATAATTCAGTTAATAACTCTTTGAGAATTTGATATATGAAATGTTTTTTTAACAATTGGAGACGAATAAATATAATTTAACAGCTTGCTTACTAATGCTATTACGAATTAAACTATATGCATAAGTTATTTAGTATTACATAAATTAATTAAACAAACGGATCAATGCAACATGTATACATAATTTCGTTCATTTCTTAATTTGACTTACAAATCATAATGATTGAAATTCTTGTGTTAATGTGGTTGATGCAGATATGATCGCCAATCTTAGACACCATTTAACCATTTGTTTAGTTTTCATGGCATATAGTTTAATTCGATCCAATTATTCTGTACTTTAGTGTAGACAGCGTTGCCCAGGTGTTCAGATGGTTGTGGAGATGACTGGCTTTTTTTCGGTCAGGTACATATTTCAGCTTAATAACTATCTCCATGCTTTATTTTCAAAGTATAATTATAAATTAATTAAAAACGAGGTGTAAAGACAAATAATCAATGACCTAAAATGATAATAGAATTAGCAAGGGTATACAATTTTAATTTATATGAGGTTTTTGACACTTCTGATGATTGAATGTAACTTGTAAATGGGCCAATAATATCACACCAACTGTTATCTTAGTTAATCTTTAAAATGTATATACTAAACATCTCCAACTTGGTAAATCCAAAGCCTGGTACCTTTCCTATACTTCCACCTGGTACCGGCGTCTGCTGAGCACTGCAGTGTAGACAGCGATTGTCAAGGTGTAAAAAAGTGTTGTTATAACGGTTGTGGACATGAAGCAAAAAGGATCAGACACAAGTAAAACATACTTATAAAGTCTTCTCCAAAATACAATATATATAACAACATTAATTGAATATGAGCATGCATTATATAAAATAAACAACATAAATATTACTACAGTATACTGAAAAAGTAAAGAGGATGAAGAAAGAACGACAGAGATTATGATAATGATGACAGAAATACTAGTTAAACATGTTTTTCATTCCATCTCTTTTCCATTGATTTGAGTTTGATCATATGATTTTTTTTATGTTTTATATGTTTTATTCCTTCATGGTTGATTCCCCTCATATTCTGTTGTAGCCTTTCTTTCTCCTCTCTTGATATTCGTGGGAGAATTTTGTCGGGACGTTGAACAATAATTTATCATTGTCCTCATGTCATGATGTTTACAAAGACCCGTGTAACGTTTAACGGCATTGCATGTGTTTATACAATTTAAGCATGTAAACAACAGAGGACGTTCACATCACAATCATTATCATATTTTCACACTCGTTTATTTCAATGTATGATGTTTGTCAAAGCTAGGTTTTTACAAATTACAACATAAATTTATCTGAATTACACCAATATTCAAATATATGAACACCATATGCTATACCTACTAAAATAATAGATGTTAGTTATCCTCTCCTTTTGTACTACTAATCTTTTGAAGCAAAATGTAACCGCATTAGTGGTTTTAAGGTATAAAGGCACGTGCAAAAAATGGTGACACAATTTCGATAAATTGAATAATTGGGAGTCGCTTGCTGAATGTCCAGTTCTCAAAGTAAGATCAACCTATATGCACATGGGCAATGAAATTCGGCCTTGCAAACAAAAACACACACGAACCTTCAGATAGTTTTGTGTAATGGTCATTTACTTAAAGAGCGCATAACACTCTTCCCCACACAATGCATTGAATTAAACGTTCCCTTTTAGATCGGACGTAACCGTTCCTGTCAGTTCAACTAGATTGATCGAAATCATTCAAATCGCAATGATTCAGTCTTAAATAACAAGCGTATTTCCAAAATCATAATTTTAACACATATAACTTATGTTACATACAAGTAAGTTCAAGAAAACTGTTTCGTTTTGTGTTTCAGTTTTTAAAAAATGTTTGCACATTTAGGTACAAGTTTATCGATGACAAAAACAGGAACACATTCCTGATCTTCTTTTTTCGTGATCTGTGTTTTCTAACAATATATGCTTGACAAACACAAATTGAATATCATGTTAGTTGAACCATGTTGATAAAAGTACAAAGCATTTTCTTTTAACAGTAAAATGAGACTGTATTAAACAAATGGGTTACTGGTTCGTACAGTACGTAAAAATTCACATCCACGTTCGATTGGACAGGGGATATAAATGAACAATGATGAATGTATCTTGGTTTTTCATTAGACTTGCCTATAACTTATCTGATCTTGATTCGCCGTAGAGAAGAGTGTGTAGGTATAATTTTACATAGCAAAATTCCTGCCCTTTGCCTGGAGATATCAGCATTAAATGATATGTAATACTTATATATTTATATCTTTGGAACATCTGCTGATTAATTGTTTTTTTTTTTGTTATTGTCTTGTGTGAGTGTGAGGTATTTTGACACTGGAGAGGTGTTGAATAGTAAAATATTTCATAATAATCTGCGGCACCTAAACCTTGAAAAAAATACTACCTGTCATAGGATATTCCACAAACTGACTAAGATAGCATAACATACCAATACCTTATCAATGAATCACATTTTGAACGCAGGTCATGACCAATATTCCGTCCAATGTCAATCGTCTCAAAGGATATAACCGAGTACATGTGTCTTTAGTAATATATATGGATATTTTCACAAGGGTTTTAAGATATGATATAAGTGTCGTCTTTACGTGCAAGACACTCATGGGTAGTCAGGGTCGGTAAACCCCTTCCCCCTTGTCATCGTCTTTACGGTTTTAGGAATGAAAAGAGACCGAAGAAACCAAGGGAATATTTAAAACGCACACGTCGGAGACAAAAGCCTGAATACAACATCATATTGTTTTTATGATTTAAGAAATAATGGAAGCTCTATTATGTTCTTTTTTTCATGCCAAATCATTTCGAATTGACAGTCAGTAATATTGTGCAACATTAGGGACACGTGTGGAATTCGTAGAATAAACTGATGAAGAGATACAGTATAGACACATAACCCTCATTAAAGGTCGAAACTTGACATCTTGGTTTCGTTTTCGTTTGCTGCATTGATGTTAACCTAGTTGATTTGTTTTCTGTTTACGTTTATTCACATATTAAAAAGGCAACTGGTGAATATGGTGAATAGGATAATTCTTTATTTTGAACTAATGACAATTTTCAGTGTAGAATATTTCTTGGATGTAATGACTTTAGACCTACAAAGAAAACAAATGGAATTAATCTAACATCATAGTTTTTAAACTTCTTACAACATTATTTTTAACACTTGAAATATATTATAAAAACAATACTGACGATTTTCGTCTTGATGTGATTAATGCAGTTCTCATGTTTCTTACCTTAAATGAATTTAAGGTATTCAAACTTCGTTTCAATTTTTTCGAAATTGACGATATATGTTACAGTTCTATATTTCTTAGGGTACATAATGTACCAAGATATAAAGTTAATCAACAGTGAAATATGTATGTGACACATTAATCGTGATATTATCAAGTGAAATATTGAAGCTGATATGGACTTCAATTTTAAGAAATCGTAATTGTTTGTTTGCTTTATTCCTTAGTTATTAATTGTAGTGAATTACAAGTACTACATTTTACATTTGTCTTTTCGGGACCTTTTGTAGCTGACTATGCGGTATAGGTTTTGCTCATTGCTGAAGGCCGTACGGTGACCTATAGTTGTAAACGTCTATGCCATTTGGTCTTTGTAGGGAGTATTCTAATTGGCAATTATACCACATCTTCTTATTTTTATAAAGACAAGTATATATGTAATCAACACACTAAACTATAAAACAAGATTGTATACACGTAAAACTCCAGGAGATAAGAATATAATACTTTAAGGCAGTAATTATATTACCTGCCACTGCTCCTTGGAAACCAGCATTATAATCAAGTGCCACCTCGTTGCGAACGTAGTCTGTCCTAACGTCATCGTATTCATCGTTTTGTCCAGGACCTCCTACTAGTGCACCGTACAATATATGTGGATTCGGATACATCATATCTAGGAAATCATGTGAACAAGTAGCTGGAATTACTGGACATGAGCTAGAAAAAATATTTTCGTATTAGCTATATTGAACCAGCATGAACTTTACGACCAACTGATCTCAACCCAGTTTTTGTTGGGGTTCGTTTTGATCATTTTTTAGTGTTTATATTGTATTGTGTAACTTGTTATCCGTTTCTAGTTGTTTTTCATTTTTTGACCATGGCGTTGTCAGTTTATCATCGAATTATTTGTTTGGTTATACATTTGATATTTTCGACCTTTCTTCTTTGACAAATCGGAAGTTGTTTTGTTCATTTTTGCCTTTGGTTCTGGTTGAGCAGTTTTTCGTTTTAACATTGATTCATTTTCTTTAGTATCTTTTAGTTTTCTTCTTTTACAGTTGACAACGGATATTTTGCTATTTACATGTTTTAGTAGCCACAATTTCCTTTGCCTTTCATCGAGTACTTCAATCCACGATTATTTTACATCGAATTAATTTTAGTTGGAGCACGAACTGCAAAGCTCATCCGGAGTACTGAAGTTTACCCTCGTATTTTGTTGTTGTTGCAGTCAGATTTGCCCAAACAAACAACTTTTTAGCATAGCATTTTGTGGATTGCTGTGTTTTTCTGTGCCTGTCAGACAAGTGAGAGGTTTAGCTAGCTATAAAACCAGGTTCTATCCGCCATTTTCTACATAAGAAAATTCCTGTACCAAGTCAGGAATATGGCAGTTGTTATCCATTCGTTTGATGTGTTTGAGCTTTTGATTTTGCTATTTGATTAGGGACTTTCCTTTTTGAATTTTCCTCGGAGTTCAGTATTTTTGTTATTTTACTTTTTTCTGTCTTTCAGGGTTGTTTGTTGTTTGTTAATCGACGGGTTCTGATTATGATTGCTCTTTTGGTGTCGGTCTCCTCTCTCGTATTGCTCTCTCACATAAGATAAAATATGGTTTCGTGTAAAAAATGCAAGAAAAAGACACTTTATTCATTAGACGTGAGCTGATCAACATTTTGTCTCGAATAAACAATATGTTGTATAAGTTGTCTTTACTTGAAGCTAGGTTTCGTTATCTACGATTGCTTTCAGATCGATACTTTGTATTAATTATGTTAGTTGTTTCTTTTCGTTTGTATCGATCTTACGATTTTTAAACCATTTTAAGCATGTTTTAAAAGTTTGTTTTTTTGTTGGGCTGTTATAAAATTATCCCAGGGTAAGGCAAGTTCAGGTGTCAGAAAACATGTTTAGCCCGCATATTCTGTGTGTGCCTCACTCATGGCAAGCGGTTGTTATTCAGTAGATGTCGCTTCTTACTGTGTGTCATACACTGTTTTTGTTTTTTTTTGTCGTCTGTTGTTTTGTTTCAAGCTGTTGGTTTTTTTTATTGCTTAACCTTTTGTTATATCGGGGTCCCTTAAAGTTTATTAGGCATGAGTGTTGTTAATCGACCGTACAGTGACCTATAGTTGCTAAAAGCTACAACATTTGGCATCTAGTGGATAGTTCTTTCATTGGTAATAAAACCACATCTCCTCCTTTTTTGTTATACTAAGTAGTCACCCGAAAAACAAAAAGAAAAACAAAAATCCATCCGAATTTTTTTTTAATGTTGTTCTCACGTCAGAAGAAACTCTTAAAATCCTAAAATGTGAAAACCAATAAATGTATAAATCATACTTGAGGAGCCAAAAGAAAAAACACGACCCCCACCCACACACACACACACAATAACAATAAAAACAAAAAAAAAACAACACATTTCCAGTTGGGTTTAAAATATAACATTGGTAGAAAATAGAATAACAATATTAGAAAGTGGCTAATTATGGAAATCATATTGGCTTAGTCATTCAGTAAAAGGTGGGCAAATATTTGTGGTTAACATTGGATAAGACATTTCGGATACATTAAACATGTAATATGCAACCGGTACTTTGACGTTTTTATGTAATATGAATATCACTTGTGGATGACCTTCTTATGACCAATTTTGTAGACGTTTAACTTTTTTGGACTGGTTTCTTCTGATAGAAAACGTGTTTTTAATTAAACCAATTATACAAATACAAAATGAAGAAGCTGAAAATGTGAATATTTTACGGACGACAAATGACGCCTAGTGATGGCAATATTTCACATTGTATGCAAGTAAGATCGGCGTAAACAGTGCATTCATACAGAAAAAAAACCATAAGAGAGACAGTCATAATACTTTGCAAGAAAATCCGTTTCACTGACTATTCATTCAATAAATTCAATATACACTCACGCTGCTCTATGATGTTCGTGTGTTGGTGGGTTAACACCGTATCCTACAACATAACTTCTTCCAGTATCTCCTAAGATATAACCTATTTGACTTTTGGCCCATTTTCGGTATTCTGTGGGGTTAATTCCAGCTTCTGCCGCAATAAGTGCAAGAAAAGCTTGATTTGCTAAAAGGAAGAGATGGTTTTTCGAAAATGTATACAAATATGTTAAATGTTAATCCAATGTCGTCGGTGAGTAGTTTATTTTTGTCATTTTTTTAATGTTATGGGTCAATAATACTAGTACATTTACAATTTGAAAGTGATGATCGACTAATGTGCACCTGTTGTTCGATCTTTTGTTTACAATGATGTGTTTAGTATACTATTGATTATCTTATGTCTTTATATTTTTTTGTAAAGGCGTTTTTTATTTTTTTTTCGACTTATCAGCTTGAATATCCCTTTGGTATCCTTCGCCTCTCTATTTATTTCGATATGAACAATTATAATGATGTTAAATAAATTATGTGCATCAAACTGTCTATCATTCTCCTCCTGTCATGTAACAAATAGAAATAATATTTGTAATAAAGTTAAGGTTTCGAATAATTCATAGACTCGGTACGACATTGAGTTTGAAATATTGAATATACATCTGTCTTCAGCAACATAATTCGTGTGGCCTTTTATGTGTCTTTTGATTAATTTAATCGGGTTGTTGTCCGATTTTTTTTTATATTTACCTGCATGTCTGAGAGAACCCCATTTAGTTCGATATGCAAGGCCTTTTGGTGTGTAAGGAACAGCACTTGGACCTGTTGCCCCTGGTAACCAATTTCCAAAAGTAGTTTCAATGTCTTGCTTGTAAACATCCTTCTTGGTGATTTGGTATAGTAAAACCTACAGAAACGATAAAAACAAACTCACTTTGTTTTTCTGACATCAAAACAACATATAGATTTCGATTGACACAGTTTGAGGAAGAGTTACTATTCTGTTGTCGCCATGTTGCAGGTGTATGTACACACATTCCTTTAAAAAATAATACAAGTTTGACTTCTAATACTGACGGCTAAACTTAAAAATAAGTTGTTTTCTCAATATAAAAAGGATCTATTATCAAACTAGGTTTTACAGCAAGTTCAATTTGGTCATCCGACCAAGAAAATCAAACATTCCCCCTCCGAAGTGGCGGGCAATGTCAATATGTCAAACTCAAATTACTAAGAAACATATCGACAGTGACAAAAAGGGCGAAAAATGTAGGGTAGAAATTTCGAAGAAATAACATGAATCATTAAGTCATAACAATGAAAATGTTGTAATGCTACTATGAACAACGAACAAATTACACGGTCGCAACAAAAATATATAGCATTTCCAAAGAGCGTTTAACATACATAAGGTATGTATATATATATATATATATATTTTTTTTAAAGTCGGGAGAGACAAACGTGGTTATCAATTCAATGTATATCCCAAATGAACTAATAACAGAGTAAGGTAATGATCACTACGTTACACATGTTACACAAACTGTTTTCATCGACATTATACCAGTTGGTATTTGATCAGTTTTAGATATTACCGGATAATACATCGAAACCATTACATGCACAATGGTGGTTACAAGAAGACATGTCAATGCAAATCAAACCGAAAAACCCAAATACCAGAATGGCATCTAAAGGCAACATAGACTGCAACAGTATACAGTTGTCCAATACAATGATCCAAGCTGTATGTTAATCGTCCCAAATCATTAAAATGTGAGAATGCATTACGCAGAATTTTCAGAGATCTGCTATCAACAACAAAGTCTTCGCGTCCTGATTCAACATTACACATTAGCAAAGTGTGTTAAGCAAGCAGCAATCAATCAATCAACTTTAATGATGCCGTGAAATTTGTACCGGTTAATGTAAATACTTACCATTGATGCCGTATACTTGTTCTCCTATGATTGCCCCCACTGATTTCCGTGTTGATGAAGAGATTCTGCGTCGGTCAAGTATTGGGAGTTATTTGTTGCTAAATATAACATTCCTGCTCCTACAGCCATTTCATCTTTATAGTCGCTTGTTCTGAAAACAAAGAAGTTGCTGATATCAATATGGCTTCTTTCACTTTTTATTTTCTGACTCGTGAATACATTACACTTCTATTTTTGTTTGTTCATGTCATCAAAAAAATGTTAGGCGATATAATTTGCCTTTGTCACTTGAACTCTCGCGAGACATCTTTTGTGGTTTTTTCTCTTTAACGCTAAACTCAAATCGTTTAATCGGTATAGCGTATCGGTAAACTAGAGTCTTCTAATGTTTACCTTCTTAATAAACAGTAGTCAAATTGTAAGACCAAACGTGTTTTCTGTTTTATTAAACAGTATAATAATAAGTTTAGAGGCGTTGATCTTGTTTTTGTGTCGATTAAATATATCTAAAGCAGTTCATAAATAGAAATTTGGAAATACATAACCAAAACAAACAAATATTACATCACGTTATTTCATTATGATAGCGACTTTAAAAGTTACATGTAGGCTTATAACCTTGGACAGTTGTAAACATGTACACTAGAGATCAAACAGTTTAATTAAGATGAAAAGGTCTTCACTAAACAGACCGATCGAAATCACAAAAAATCAAAAGGACTCAATACACAAAGTATCAATATGAAAGAATTTGCAGTTGCATGATTAAAATATTATTCTTTATTTATTTCAAAGTGTAATACCCATAGCCGGCTCCTTTAACACTATCCCTGAATAATCCTGGATAAGTTTTCCCAAACGTATAAATATCCTTTGAGTGATTCAAAAGCTTTATAGAAAACGCTGGATCTGAAAAAAGAGTGGATATATATGTAATGACTTATATTAGTTGTATCAAATAACGGGTTTTTATGTGTATTTTTGTAATAGGTTTTTCGAGATTTAAGATAATACAAACTTATCCAACTTTAGACGATAAAATTGATGATTAATTTAAAAAAAATAAGCGCCCGCTGTACTATTTAAAAACGTTCCCTTGTGAATCTCTATTTAAAAGCACTTGTTTCTGTATGAATAATTTAAGTATATCGTATTCATCGTAGAGTACTTTAGACGACGAATTTAATGTATGTTGGAACTTCTATACACTATATAAGACAACAACAAAACATACATGTTTGCTAGCTTTACTTGAGTCAAAACATTTGTTCTTAATGTTATTTATTTTAATTTTTCTGTGAAAAAAATCAAATTAAAAACAAAAAGTCTTATAGTTTTGTAAGTCAGACGCGCGTTTCGTCTATTTAAGACTCGTTCATCAGTGTCGATTGAATCAAATTAAATAAAAAACTAAAAATAAAATATGAAGTCGACAAAAAATCTCAATGTAAAACCACGTGATCTCTGTATCTTCTTTCTTTTCTGTATGCATACCTTAATAAACGCTTTACATTTATAGTCAATAGGCGTGTTAACGCTTAAAAGAAACATATTGTTGCTCAAAACAGTGCACTCTTGATTCTGGATAAAATAACGAGCCTTTGTCTTCCGATCACGTGATAGGTGAACAATTCAAACAAGTCAATATGACTAGAAACAGTCAATTGCTTTGCTTATTGTTGAAGGCCGTACGGTGACATATAGTTGTTAATTTCTGTGTCATTTGGTTTATTGTGGAGAGTTGTCTCATTGGCAATCATACCACATCTTCATTTTTATAATTGAAATTGCGGCAATGTTTATTGCCTAAAAACAATATCGAAATAAGTATTTCATTTATATTTGATTTGCTTTTGATTTCTATGTTACAAGATGTGCACTCATGATTATGTTGATACTCACTTCCTACAATATGATATGACCATTACATATAATTTCAAATGTGTGTAAGGTCATCAAAATTCTTGGCTGAACACAATACTATAATGCCAAAATATGCTTGTTTTGAGATCTTTTCATTATTAGACAGACCACAAGCATATCTATTTTTGTATTGAGACTTACATAATTATGTAAGGACAGAATGAATCTTGGATTCAATGCAGTACTTTATAAAAATGGAAATACAGGTTAATTCTGACAGTGTTTCATCAATATTAAGATATGAGCGAAGGCTTTGTTCAAAAACATGTCTTGTCGCCAGCTGTCATACATTACAAGTTTAATGTTAAAGTGGGTAAAATATATTCAAGAGTATCCAATTTTTTCTATAAATAATAAATAAATCTAGAATGTACAACCTTTATCTTTAAACACCATTGATGCGACAGCCATTGCGACTGCGTATTCCCCAGCTACGTCACTTCCTGGTTTATCAGACGTCACTTTAAATGATGGTCTATCCATCGTCATGTCCTCTGGTCTTCCCCAGAAAGAGTGATCAAGGTTACCATCTCCTACCTTTTTATAAGAACATTTTTTAATTTACGAACATTGCAAATGAAATCTGTTAGTGTTTGATTTTGTCAAAACTCTCTATCTCTCTCTCCAACTCTCTCAACCGCAGGATTTAAAAAAAAAATTGATTCGAGCATCTATGAGACAACTCTGCACAAGAGACCAAATGACACAGATATTAACTATAGTTCACAGTACGGCATTCAACAATGAGCAAAGCTCATACTGCATAGTCAGCTATATAGCCCCGAAATGACAAATGTAAAACAATTAAAACGAGAAAACTAACGGTTTATATATATATATATGAAAAAAGTTTTTTCATCAGAAGATTTCAAAATATTGTTCCTTAATTCGCTTTAGTCTCAAAACAAATAGTAATCACTGTATTTTGCACATTCTTCCGTTTTCATTTTAGGATTTTGTGGACGTTATTATTTTTTTGGCAATATAGTTGTCTGTTTTCATGCAACGGTGTTTGTAATATTTTTTTCTATTGGCACCTTGGAATTTCTCACATTCTTGATTGGAATATGCAAAATAAGTTTGAAACCAACGAAAGATAAGCACCAGATATTGTTATTGTCATGATATCATGTAATTACAGAAACAGTCTTTGACGTATCAGGGACAAGGGTTATTACAAGGATTTCCAAGTTTCAGTTAACATCACTTTTGCATAACCTGTTTATGTTATTAAACATACCTGAATATAAAGTTCATTTTTCCCCGTATGACATTTGAGTAACCATTCTAGCGACCAACGAATGCAGTCGTACATTTCATCCAATTGTCCACTGGCATTGTACGCGTCTTTGTATTGAAGGAGACCCCAGGTCAGCAAAGTTACAGCACTGGCTTGTGGAAGTCCAAACTTAACATGATCACCAGCTGCAAAATGATCCATTATGAATCTCGATTTAACATATCTTATATTTTATACAATGAAACTTCTTGTTGTGAACTGTCCATATGAAGCGTATAACAAGAACTTTATATGTATTATGTATTTCATTTTTGATACTAGTACTATAATCCAGGGATTCATGTTACCTCGTGGTATGTTGATACTATTTGTCTCTTTTCAAGGCATCAAATGTAACCTCCAAGTTCTGACCGAAAGTGGTTGCGAATTTGTCCACCCCACATCAAAAAGAACGCCCCACTTTGAAAAAAAATATGATTGAAGCCCATTCTGTGGATAGCTGATACACATGTACACACAACCAAAACTAAGACGTTGAACTTATGGAAGTAATGATTAACTGGGAAAAACTATTTGACGTAGCTCGGTACTTATACATCCTGTCATTGTGTTATTATGCGATGTTAAATTTTTGTATTATTGTCTTTCGTTTTTGCTAATTTGCTTTGTCTATATACATTTGTGCTTTTCTTTGTTGATATATTTGTTTTTTATAGTGATAAAGAATATTACACAGTGTTGACTGTTGTTCCCCTATGTATTACATTTTTACCTATTATGTCTGTTTGTTTTGTTCATACATCGTTGTCAATATAATAGAATTTTAGGCGAATTTTATCCGACTGTTATAAGTGAAATGTTGAGGTTGCTTTAAAACCACCATTTTCTACAAAAGAGAATACATGTACCAAGTCAAGAATATGACAGTTGTTTTCCATTCGTTTGATGTGATTGGGTTTTTGATTTTGCTATTTGTTTAGGGAGTGTCCGTTTTCAATTTTCCTCGGAGTTTGGTATGTTTGATGAATTACTTTCAAATACGTTTCTAAATAACGTTATTTATTATACATTAATTTATGGGTGATCTATTATGTGATTTTGTTAAAGTGCCGAAATTGAACATACCATCATACCATCCACCATTTAAATCCTCTCCATTTTGTCCCCTGTCATTCAGTGCTGAGTCTTCTCTCCACGGTATTGGATTATTAGCAGGAAGTTTGCCCGACCGTTGAGCGAGATAGAACATGATAGATTTCATTAGGACTTCGTCGTAATTGTACTTTGTACCATCGGCTACAAATAGAATTTCAAAGTTAATTAAAACGAAAGGTTTTTTTCATTATCAATGTAACATCTGCTTTTTCGATTGATCAGACAACCACTATATCGTTCTTGAACAACTATCGTAATGTCAAATTAACTGATACCAACAGCTCCTTTTCTAATAAATGACGACGGAAATTGCCAAATAACATCGTTTATCGATCGAAAGATCGTCTTGACTATGCCCGAAAGACCAGATCCATGGAACCATTTAAATCTTCATTAAGAAAACAATGTCACGGTACTATTTCTTTTGTCACAGTTACTTACTATTGGAGGTTATTGGTGGTTTGAAATTGTCATGCCCCATGTTATGCAAATACGCCTGTGCAGAGGGTACATTTCCGTCCTTTGTTGTTCCTTGTATCATAACATCGAACAGGTGATTAGTAGTCTGAATGCCCGTGTGGTCTTTGTTAACGAGATAATGAACTGTTTCATTGCTGGAATCTTTTACATATTCTATACCGACTGGTGACTAAAATGTAGAAAAGTGAACGACTAGAAGAGGACTGATTTGTTATCAATGTTAAAATAGTTAAATCAGATAAGGATTGATTTGTATACGTATTTAATATTAAAATAGTAAAACTTGATACGGACTGATTTGTAGTCAATGGATATATATTGAAACTAGATAAAGATTGATGTGTAGTCAATATTAAACTAGTAAAACTGATGCGAAAGAGGCCACCAAATGACAAATGCTTTTAACATAATAGTAATGTTAACATAAGGAATTACAGGCTATGCAAAATTAATTAGTAGGTCCATTCAGGGTTTTAAATTCACAATAATTTCACTTGTACGACGGTCTTTCAGTTGTAAATAAGTAACAGTTAGTTTTGGAGCTAACATATCAATACAAAGCCAACGTCAGCAAACGGACAAGCAAAAGCAAGAGTTATTGTCGGGTCTCTAATACGTACGCGAAACAGAAATGCTTACTGCAATGGAGTTTTTGTCATATGTGTCTGATGCCATGGAGTTTATATTGCTATTGTGTTTATTGCCTAGGGATCATTCTACTATAAAGGTTATCTCTTTTGTGTGTCACTTGATCTTTAAAAACCAAAATTTGCTGAGCACAATCTTAATTTCCGAATTGATGTTGTCTCCACAGAAATAAAACGCGAATAACATCGTTGTTGTTTATCAATTATATGAGACCACATACGTGATAAAAGAATTAGGTATTAACGATTTATATGAAAACATAAACTCTCAAAACACTTACCAAAAAATGAAAAGAGGATAGCATTAACCTTCAACTTCAAATTCTGAATTTCCCACAAAATACAAACAATTCCATATCGAATGTGAAATCGCCAAATTAGTTATCACATGTTGAGTAGGATCTGCTTACACTTCCGGAGCAGATGAGATCATTAATGGGTCGTAAATCTCAGTCATTTGCTGTTTTTGTCTGTGTTTTTGTCGTTTTACGTTTGTTTGCTTTGACGTTGTCAGAGTGTCATCAACAGATAAGTTTGAATATCTCTTAAATCTTCTATCTCTCTTTTTTCTAACACTTGATTATTCATCTCCAGTAAAATTTCACTTATTTGTAATGTAAAATGTATTTGTGAGTCAAGCGGAAAAATCCAATTTTACATCAAAAAGAAAACCAGATATCATCATACCGTTAATCCCGTGACTGCCTTAGAAAAATCTATTTGAATTTTCCATCCAACTAAATCTTCGGTGAGGTTGAATAAGAAGTGCCCATTGAATCCACCATTACCTATATCCGTCACTTGAACCATAGGTATGACATCGAGTGCACCCACAATGACAGGCAGTAGATACAACCAGTAACACACCATTATCTATCACTTTTGTACACAATCTCAAATTAACAAATTCATAATTTAGAAAATACAATTTATAAATTTCAGTTACCTTTCAAAAGGAGTTGAATCATCTTTTTTTTTAGTCTGATAAAATCAAAACCCTCACCCAATGCATCAAATTATTAGCCCGGTATCTTAAATGAGTTTTTATATAGTCATACACAGTATCTATGTTTTATTTACTTCTGTAGCAAGACATTTAGTGGTGGCAACGATATGCCATGTATCTGTTTGCCCACTTTCTTTTATTGTTGGCCAAGTGATTTAGATTTTTTGTTATACGAATTTATTATATGACTTGTGGATACTATGGATTAATTTATTTTCGTTGGTACCAATTTTCGAGGATTGAGATAAACTTGCACTTTCTTGGATATTTAATTCCGTGGTTTTTGCAAAGTATGCATTTATTTGTTTAGGAAATTTTTAATTCGTTGAACATTCTTGGCTCTCCTATATCCACGAAATCCAGGAAAATTGGTATCCGACGAATTATAATTAATCCACAGTATCCAATACGCCATGTTTATTCATTGTGTGATTATGCAAAAGACTTTTACCTTTACTTGAATTAACTATGACAACAATGCGGAAACAGTTTAAAAATATAGAAAAAAGAAGTCACGTAATATTTTTGATAGATACAGTCAATTAAGGGCCGACCATTTGATTCCATTGAGAGATGGTTGGGGAATAATCAAAACGTATGAATATCATATATTTGGTGTTCACGTCAAATTCATTTATTTTTATAGATATTGCCTGATTGTATGTTTTGTTTTGCTATGTAATTCTTTTGATCGATGATGACTTCAATGTTTCCAAACTCAATTTCCTTTGTTGATAGGTAGCTATATTCATACAGTTTATAATTCTTGTAACTGTATTCTTGTTTAATTAACTGTATATTCTACATACGGACTGCCTAGAGCTACACCAATCGTTATGGTGCGTAGTTATTGCACCAGATGTGCATTTAAACAGTTGATGTCTGGCAAAGATGTTCGAGTCCAAATCAATTAAAGACCCAAAGTATAATACAAACTGGAAGGGCTGGAATAACATGAAGACAAACCACTGACAGTGATGGAGATACATTCTTTAAAGATTTTATTATCATCTCTTATACAATTTGGTTGTAGAGGAGAGTTTATTTGTTTCATAATAAGATATCTCAACCACATTTACGTATTGGTTTATTCTGTAAAAGTGTGTATTGGATAAATGTTTCATAATAATGTTTAGCGCCTGACATTATAACACAGTACTTACCTGTAAATGAATATTCCGCACACTGACTATGATAGAAATGCAGACCAATACCTTATCAGTGATCTAGATTTTGAACTCTTTCATAACCGTTATTTCGCTCAAATAATTATTACGAAAGAATATTACCGATGACACGTGTCTATATTTATAAATATGTCTGGATAATTTGAATAAAGATTTTAGATGATGATATAATTACGTGTTTTAACGCTCTAAACGAAAAAAAGGGAGACGCAATATCAGATAGAGTCGTTAAAACGCCATTCATCTATTGAAAACTCATCATAGATACCAAGTATTAAATGTTGTACCCGGACGTTTCGTCTACAAAAGGCTCATTAATGACACACGAATGAAAACAAATTAAAACAGAAACGAAAGAAAGATATCAAAGGGATACTCACATTCTCAGGTAAAAAACTGACTTACTAAATTTAGATGAATCAAAGATAGTTTGTTTACGTTAATGTTACAGCAACTAAATAATAAAAGTATTCAAAGGACATTCCAATAATAGAATACTCGACTGTGTATAGAAAAAAAAAACAAACATAACTATCCCGATTTTCATCAACTCACTTTAAATACTCAAGATGATAAAAGTTAACGCTTTTGATGCATTTTGAATAGACAGGATGACTCACTAGAAGAACACACATATCCATTGTTATTAGATGTGATTAAGTCTTGTAGTTTTCTATGTTATGTTTTGTGTTTTATTGCTTGTGTTTTGGTTTGTTTTGTTGCCATGACTTTGTCAGTTTATTTTCCACTTATGAGTTCGAGCATTTTCACTTTAGAAAAGAAAAGAACGTATTTTTTTGTTATTGTTAAGCAAAACTAGTTTAAGATGACAGGATACAGTTGCTAATTTACAAATTGTCTCCTGTCATTAATGCCTCAATGTCAAGCATAATAAACATAACTGTTATCAGCACAAAGTGCATGTTTAACACTAGCAGATTTTCAGACAATGGTTGGGGTTGAAGGATCGAACATATCAAAATCAATCAATCACTTTAAACACTACGAAAGTAGCTCCAATTCCTTCTTTTTTTCACATCTTGAACGCTATTGTTTCCTGACAATGGTGTTACATTAAGTTAAATGTAGGATTTATTTAAGACTCAATTGAAAGCTGATTATGTTAATTATACCAGAAACAGCACCTACAAATTGTATTTATTGTGACAACAACTTTTGCTTGGTCAGCCATTTATCATATAACTGAGCCTCCTCGCGGGATGTTTGATTAAGGGATTACATGACCGATTGTATAGTGATTATTTGAGTACCAGACCAAATATTCATAATTATTTGATTATATTGTTGATTATGAAATTACCTTGTTTAAAAAAAGTTGATGATCATGTGATTATATTGGCAATAAAATGATGACTAAATGATTACTTGAACATCTCCATGAGGGACCTCATAACTACAGATGATGTCAAGAAGGAAACAATTAGTCGTGGTTGCTTTACATCAGTTTTGAGAGAAATTGAAGAATTTGTTAACAACTAAATACTAGAACAGTTTTCTGATCATTTTGAAAAAAAAATATTGGAGGAGAGTCTTCCCAGGAGGAAAACGATTGTACGGTTGCTTCACGACGAATTTCAAATATTTGAACTCCTTGAATAATGACATACGATATAAAGGGAAATAAAGGAAAACAATGAAAATGTTACGTTGTGTATTGTGTATCGAAAATTACTCTGAAAAATATTTTTCTATTTTATTTACGTATACTAAGTTGCTGTTTTAAATGTTATGTTAGGACTTTTGCAATGACTAAAAAATATTCCTATAAAAGTACGGAGAAGTATCGATTGCCAATGATAAAACTGTCAACAAAAGTGTA